TGTAGAGATGAGGTCTTGCTGCCCAGGCGGGTCTCAAACCCGCGGGCTCAGGCAATCCATTCACCTCAGCCTCCCAAAGGCGCAGGATTACAGGCTGAGCCACCGAGCCCGGCTAAAATACAGTATTTTTTATTATAGATGCTATCTATGTTGTCCAGTAGACCTCTAGAAGCTGTTCGTTGTGCATAATTAAAACTTTACACCTGTTGAACAGCAACTCCAGACTTCCTCCTAGCCCATGGCAACCACCTTCTCTACTCTAGAGAACAGAATGTTTCTATGTTTGAGTATTTTAGACACCTCATATTTGAATCTTGGCTCTGACACTTACTAGCTCTGTCACCTTACACAAATCACTTAACTGCCACACACCTTGAAGGTTTCCCCATTGATAAAATTAGCTAACAAGTCCTAAGGTGCCTGTCAGACCTGAGTGAAATTAAAGTGAAAAGTATGGTGCCTGATACACGATAAGTGCTCAATGAACATTAACAACTGTGGTAAACATTTTTCTTTTCTTCTCTTTTTTTGATTTGTCTATCAATTCTGTTTTCTTTGGGGTAGTTTCTCCTACATTACATCTATGTGGTGTTGGCAGAATAACAAATATTTCCTCTATATACAATGAGAAGGGTGGGCCTGGGATACAGCCCCATCCCCAGTTTAACACAGAAACTTCAAGTCCTCTGTCCTCAGCAGGAGGTCCAGAGGTCAGGCATGTGCACCACCATTTTTCTATTCGGAGTTGGATCACAGGCCTTTTAGGTCATAGAGATCAAAGAATGTAATTTGGAGACTATTTGTGGCTTTCTTGTCTGCCATATAAAGGATTATCTAAGAAAAAGAGGACAAATGATAGAAAAATAGGACCAGGAAACAAAAGAACTGGGGCTGTGGGACAGAAAGAGAGAGTCAGAGAGTTGGGGAGGAAGGGCAGAAGCCAAAAGGAGAAAAGAGAGAATCCAAATGGTATCCTAAAAAGCACTGAGTCCCTAAATTTAATCACACCTAAAGCAAGGCCTTTTGACCGCCATGCTCAATGAGATGATGAAATTCCATTTCCATTCAAGTTTGTTGGAGTTGGGTCACTTTCAACCAAGAGTCCTGACTTTGGCTACTACTTGTCACTATCATCGCTGTTATCACCCTCTCTTCAGGAAGCCTTCCCTGATGCCCTCAGGTACACACGCATGCCCATGTTCCTGTGTTACCACTTATCTTTTTTATACCTTCCAACAAGATTGTAATATCTTGGATGACTGGTACTTTGTATTTTCAATGTTATATTCTTAGTTACTATCGCAGTGCTTATGACAAAATAAAACATAATCACAATAAACATATGAAGATAAATAGAACAATTTGGTTATAAACAAATGCTAAATAATAAAATGAATACTCCAAATATTTATAGAGAGCTTTAATTTATGCCAGTATTATTCTAAGCACTTCAAATATGTGAGCTCATTTAATTGTTTCAAATTTCTAAAAGTGGTTCAAATATGATCCCTGCTTTTAAAGACGAATAAAATGAGAACTAAGAGGTCTCATATGAGCCCAAGGTCACAAACTCTAGTAAGCTGCAGATCTGGGACTAAAAAATAAGAACTCTGACTCTAAAGTTCATGACTTTAGTCATTTTAAGGGCATGGTGGCTCACACCTATAATCTCAGCTCTTTGGGAGACCAAGGAGAGAGGACTGCCTGACCTCATGAGTTCGAGACCAGCCTGGGCATCTTGGCGAGACCTCATCTCTACAATAAATCAAAAAATTAGCCGGGCGTGGTGGCACATGCCAGTAGTTCCAGCTACTTGGAAGGCTGAGGCAGAAGGATCGCCTAAACCTGGCAGGTCGAGGCTGTGGTGGCCGTGAGTGTGCCTAGGCAACAGAGTGAGACTCCAACTCAAAAAAAAAAAAAAAAAAACATGAAAATATGCTCGGCAAAAAGTAGTTTCTACAATCACTACTCATATGACAATTGCTTTATAAAGTGAAAATCTGGTTATTGTACTTTTACAAAAGACAAACAAGAACAGAGAAAATCTTCCAAGTTCTAGTATTTTTATAAAGCATTACTTGCTACTCAGCAATATCTTGCCACCTTAAAAATATTGAGTTCCAAATACACTGTATAAAGAAAAGTCAAATAATAGAGAAGGACAAAGTTAACTCTAGAACCACACTCCTTCTTTCACAAATAGATCATCATTCATATATTCACTTAATAAATTCTATACACCGGTCATTATCTTAGAGCTACCTCAATTTTCATTTTTTTACATGAAGAACCTGGAAATAATGACTTAAATAAATTGTATACCAAAATTCCACTTCCGGAAGTATTGTCAAATTCTCAGAAACAAACAAAAAAGCCTATGCTTTTAAAAAATGCTTTATTTCATAATTAAATGTATCAGATTACCTATTTAGCTATTTATTTTTATATTACACATACTGAATATAATATTGCATATATAACTAAGCAGAGCATTTGAATTCTGGTGCCACCTTGTGGTTAAGACAGTAATTATTTCCTTATTTATTTTAACTCGCTATACAGGTTTTTTTTTTTTAATTAAATAATGAAATAGGTGAATATTGCTTTGCTATCCACTAAAAATTTCTAGTTATATATGTCTCCCTGTCCCAGATCAACTTTTAGCTGCTATATGCTCACATTTTCTTAATAGCCAAGTTCAATTATGTTCTCATTTTCTCCATCTTTAATTTCACTTACTACATTGGGAAGGTATTAGCAAGTTAATTCTGCTTTATTATGTCTTGTGTTTGCATTTTTGTAGCTTTTAGTTTATGAGGCACATTTCAATACATTTGCAAAATAATTCTAAAAAGACTTAACCTATTTGCTGAAAGTCATACATAATACACAGTGGCTTTTTCTCCAGTGTCCTCGACATTATTCTAGTGTTCTTTGCTGTGCTTATATATCTCCTCATTTCAAAGTTAATGGGAATTGTATTGGGCGTAGGGGGAGGAAAGGAGTCGTTTCCTAATAAATGTCTGAAACTTTTGTCTGTTACCAGTGATACCTAACATGTAAAGTATAAAATATTTACCAGCACTGTATTTACTGAGAATATAATAGAAAAAAAACTTTATGACGGTGAATGTCAACTAATATTTTCTTTATAAAACAGAAAGGAGACTGGAAGGCACTAAACCTCCAATCTTGCATGCACAAGTTCCTCTGTGGTAGCTCAGGGCACTTCAGAGGGATTAGTCCCTGCTTCATTCTATTTGTTCTACCGTGTTTGAAGTTCAGTAGAATTGTGAGAAGAACTACTGTAGTCACACCAGAAAAGTCACACCAGGAACTTCCCGTTGGAAAATTGAATCTTAGTAGGTTTTCCTAAGTAATAAAGAGATCAACTGGAAATTCTTTTATCTTAGAGAGCCTGGAGGCTTCAACAAACAACAGCAGCAACAACAAATCCTCTCTTCAAATAAAAATGTCAAAAAAACTTTCTGGCAAAATGTTAGTATGGAAATAATTGTTTTAAGGATTAGTCCCAATGATGCTAAAACTCTAATTTCAGTAGTGTGAAGAACTTTAGAAAGGATTCCATTCCACCCCTAAGAATAAAATTGAAGCTCCCAGGCCTAGGTATTCTGGGATCTGCAGCTCTGGATGGCTACAGGTGCTCTGGCTTTTTATCAGGGATCAGCAAACATGTAAGACTGAATATACAACTGGACATCAGCATTATGGGTTTTCTCTATGGTTCTATTATTTTGATTTATGTCAGTAAAATTGAAAAATTAAGTCTGACTTTTTTCCCCCTTAAATATATGCTAGCTAACATGGGACTGATTATCTTAAAATAAATTTTCAAGAAATGCAATTATAGTAATATAACAAATTACCTGAAGATGCGCTTTGAATTGAAAGAATTCTAGGTTTAGGTTTCATTTTAATTTTTTCTTTTTCAGCTTCTTGGTCTTTATTTGGAGAGTCAGATAAGGAATTTACAACCATGTCTTCACAACCATCAGATGCCTTTTCCTCATCATTACTGATGGCACATACTGGTTCATCTTTGGTTATATCACTGTTTGATTTCATGGTTTTCAAAAAAGACGGCCTTGAATAATTCTTTTCTTCATCGTCTGATAGATGAAAATCATTCACTTTTTTCTTAACTGAGTTTTCATCTATTGAAGTGTCAGAAAAATCACCTAATGAAACTGAAAAATGGAAAAGAAAAATGTTTTCAACAGTATTTTCTAAAATCATCAATGTTCATTAGTTTTAAAAATAAGATTACCTTTATAGACTAGAAATGAAATTCCAAAACCGAATATTTGTAAACTAGATTTGCAGCTCTAAAAAAATAACTAACTCAGGTATGTTTCATCAGCATTTATGAAATAAAAATTTCAATTTTATTAATTTATTCAAAATATATTTACTGAGTGTTTAAGGCATGCCAAACACTGTGCTTGCTCTGGAAAAAGCTATCCAGAGGTCCCTAAAAAAATAAGAGTCAACCACGGGACATTTAAATTGAATTTTGAACTGCAAAACTTTTATTTACAATTTCATCATATATAATCAAGAACATTTATAACTGCAAGAATTTAACTAGTACTTTGCTATTTATATCTTTCCCCAAAACTATTTTGGAAGTGCAATTCCCTCTATACCAGATTATTAGACTTCACTAAGAATTATAAAGAAACCTAACTTAACTACATAGCAGTGGTTTAACTATGATTTCACTATAATTCTGATTATTTTTACAGAAAACAATAACAGGTATTCACTACATTTTTAAAGAAGAAAACACTGAAGTTAAAGTTTAGAATTCTGCATTCTTACAACTAAAACTAAATGTTAATATTTTTACATAACCAAAAGAAACCAAATTATATTATAACAGTACTGATATATAAAATATGAAGAGTCTGTGTTTTTAAAACTGATTCCTTAAAGCCAAAAATAATCTGATTTATAACAAGCATTATAAAGTACTTCTGATATGCACCAAAGTTTAGTTCTTTAGGCCCTTATTGCTAACTAGTTATAGGGCCTCTTGGGGTTGACTTTAAAGAAGAACTTGTCTTTTCCAGTGTGGTTTATCACCAACAATCATCCTTTTTTTGAGTTGGAGTTTCACACCGTCGCCCAGACTGGAGTGCAGTGGCCACTCCCGGCCACTGCAGCCTCGACCCACTGGGCTCCGGCAATCCTTCCACCTCAGCCTTTCGAGTAGCCGGAATTACAGGCGCGCTACCACGCCCGGCTGATTTTTTATTTATTGTAGAGATGAGGTCTCACCAAGTTGCCCAGGCGGGTCTCGAACCAGCGGGCTCAGGCAATCCACTCACCTCAGCCCCCCAAAGGCGCGGGATTACAAGCTGAGCCACTGAGCCGGGCTGACAATCATCCTTTTAATGAAAACCTGCTGTCAATTAATTTATATTTTCATATACACATTCAGAAACAACTAAGGACAATCATACAACCTCTCGAAAATTAAGAGTGGCTTTCTACTCATTGAAAAGTTGAAAATCTAAAACTAGTGAATTCATAGTTATTATTATAACAGAAGTGGTTTTTGGGGATGGAGTGGACAAAATGTAAAACCAAAGAAGCAAAAGGAAAAAGAGGAGTTTAACTTATCACTACTGTCACATACCAATCTCATCACTGTCGAAGTCATCTGAGTATTCAGAACTCCTTTGTCTTGCTGAGCGAGCTGTAATTGCTCTTATTAATTCATCCTGAAATGAGATAATTAAAATCAATTCCTATCCAAAGTGAAAAGGTCTTATATTTAGCAGTAATTCTTTAAACTTTTAATAGTTCTTTAAATTATTAATAATGCTTTATTAATAATGTTTTTCAAACTTAGATTTCATTCATCTAACAAACAATTCACTACAAGCCTACTTGATGCCATGCACATATGCGCTCTGGTTCAACATAAAGCATCGCAGACGATAGTGCTCCCTTATGGAGCTTGCAGCTAAACTGGAGGAGATGGACAGTATAAAAAAATGGCAAGTTATAACTGAAAGGACATGAGATGGAATCAATAAAGAGCAGCCATTTTGACACTGCCTAGTCCTGTCATATTCTCTTAACATTATTTAGTTTGCCCTCTAATCAAAGACAGAATCAGTTCCTCACAGGTAGCTGTTGATAATTGTTTTACAATTCCTCCCTAGCTTGTTTTGTACTAATTAGCTTTTATATTCCAAGTTTTATATAAGAAGCAAGCTAACCTAAAAAACCTTTCATGATCTTCCTGACACATACCCCATCGACATGGCAATGGTCATGTGACTAACCCACTGCCTGCCATCTGTCACTTGACATCAGTACCTGTGCTTACCTGCCTTTCCTGATGATGTGAAGCAGACCACCAACCAATCACCTTAACGACCCATCTCCATTAAAGAGAAGGTTTAAAAGCATTCAACCTCAAGCAGCCATTGGCCATTGCTTTGCTGAACTCTGATGGGACCACATGGTTCTTTGAGCTATGGTCACCATGTTTCCAAGCTTTGGCTTGGGGAGGTGAATCTCCTCTCTCTCTCTCTCTAAAATTTACATTCTAAATAAACTACATTTTCTAATCTAACTTCTCTGCAATTCTTTGCCTCTCATATATGGTACCAGATCAGAGAGTAATGAACAAGAAAGGATTCACTTTAAATAAAATTTATAAGTAACTGGCATTTTGACAGAAATTCATATTTTTAAGAGGTTTTGAGCCAGACACAGTGGCTCACATCCCAGCACTTTGGAAGACCAAGGTGGGAGGATTACTTAAGCCCAAGAATTCAAGACCTGCCTAGAAAACATAGCGAGACCTTGTCTCTACAAAAAAGCAAAAAATAAAACAATTAACTGGGCATGGGGGCCCATGCCTATATTCCCAGCTACTTGGGATGCTGAGGCAGAAAGAATGCCTAAGCCCAGGAGTTCAAGGCTGCAGTGATCCAAGATCATGACTGCATTCCAGCCCGGGTCAAACTTAAAAAAAAAAGAGAGAGAGAGAGCACACATGCAAGTACGCGTGCACGCACACTTTTGCCTGGGCATACTGCAGAAACGAATGCAATCAATACTGCAGGTTTAGTGGTTGAGTTCAAAATTGTGATGACCCAATACAGAAAATTTAAATATCACACGACAATAGAAAATAAGTTTGTATATAAAATAGCAATTTAAAATCACTATATAACTTAATTCAGTAAGAACTTAGTATTGAGGTTATTTTGATAATCTTAAAGCCACATAGGAGGGTTAATAATACTGAATGAGGCCCAAACATGATCATTGCAAAATCTCCTAAAGATATAAGATATACTCCTGCTTTAATCTAGAATTGTTCCCATAATCATCAGGTCCAATTCCTAATATAATATTAACATTATAAAATCATTCAAAATAAAAATGCTTCCAAATACTTTACCTGGAAAGTAGTTCTCTTGGCAACTCTTGGACTCTCTGTATATGCCAAAGTTGTGCTAAAAACTTCATCAGACATAGTGCTTTTTTTTTTTTTACCTTTATAAAGTAGCTAATAAATGAAGTAATTCAATTTCTAATAATGGCTGAAATATAAAAAAAAGAAATCAGACTTTTCATGCTTGAGGATTTCTATTCCTACACTTAATGCCACACAAAACCAAACCAAATAAGAAAAGCATCTCATGTGAACATTGAGCTACAATCCTCACTTAAAAATGTAAACAGAGTACTTGTAAAGACATTCCATATTCTCACAAGCTTGTTTCCAAATAAAACAAAATTCAGATGAAAGTTATCCTTACATAGTTTTGTACCTATTTGAAGAATCAGCAGATAAAAGATCGTAACAGGTTAATAATATGGTAAAGTGTTGCCAATTACAACAGAACACCTTGTCACCTTTCATTCGAAAAAGTGAAACACTGCCTACAAAACAGTCATACCTTATTTAAAAGGCTACCAAGAAGTCAGACAGCGTAAAAGCTAGGAGCACCGCCAAAAAATATTTGCTTATAGCGCTATTCAAGGAAAAAAGAACACAATGCGAAACCATGGATAGCCAGCGGTAATTTTTACAAGCCACTCCGCTCCCTCGCAAAAAATGGTGACAGGGAGAGGTAAAACAGAATGACGGAATTTTCACGCTGAGCAGCATTAAAATCGTTTCTGGCGCTGGAAGCCAAGAAGCCGGGCCTGGGCCGCAGGGCCGCCGCAGCACCGCGCCCACAGCCCCCGCCCGGCCAGGTGGCGCCCGGCCCCTGCCGCGCTAACGCCCCACGCACGCCAGACCTCGCACCGAGCGAAGTCTCCGTCCGGCTCCTCTGCAGCCTCCGCGTCCCTCTTTCCGTACCCCGCGACCTTGAGAACCCAGAGGCTGGCCTCCAGCAGCAGCCTCCTGCCGTGGCCTGGCAGCGCTGAAGCAACCGACACCGGGAACCGCGAGGAGGCGGAGCTAAATGCGGAGGTGGGAGGCGGTTGCTAGGAAACAGCGTCGCCGGGAGGACGTGACTTCCGCATCGCCAGGTCTCTCGGGTACCCAACGCCTCCCTTCGGCCCAGGCGTCGCTGGGCAACAACCCAGACGGAGGAAGTGACGTCACCCTCCTGGATCTTGGGAGAGGGGTGCCGTATCCGCTGGGCGCTTCTGCTGTTGCCTAGGAGACAGGACCCGCCCAACTTTTGCGGAAAGAGTAGGGATGCTTAAATGCAAATGTTGCCGATGAAGTGCATTCGACGTTTTGCCACAGGTAGGACACGAAGATCCGTGAATCGAAGTAGCGTGTCAGTGGATGGGACAGAATAGCACGGTAGTGACATTTGCAGCCCTTGGAGTCAGACTACACGTTTGAAATTTGACAGCTTCTTTACACACACGGATGTCGCAAGTTTAGGTCTTTATGCCTTCTTTTCTTCTTCTGAGAAAAGAAGTAATAATAATAGTCACCTAAAGGGTTCCTGTGAGTTTGAACAAAATAATGCAGGTGGAACACTCAGAAGAGTAATTTCAGTCAGTATTAGATGTGCAAAAGGCCACAAAGGGCATGGAGAGAAGATAATTCTTGTGGATACAACTGAAAACCCATTTCACATCTTGCTTTAATGTAGTGTTTCCTCTTTGTATACTTAGTGGATAATATGATTAAAATCAAACCAGTCAACACACAAAATGACCTAATGGATTGTAGGACCATGTGCTGCTAAAGTAACCCAAATCGACATCATTTAATTAACAAGCCTACTCCTTAAAGCAAATAAAATGCAAAAACACTTTTGTAAAATCTTTTTAAAAACAGACTTTTATTATTTTCAAGTTTTAAAAAAGCTTAATCCTAGTTAAATTGTCTGAATGAATTAATTGACTAATAAACTTATATTTGGTATTTTTTATATCTCTGAACTGTATTAATATTTTACATATTCAATTATTTCAAACACATCACATTGAGATATAGATTTAATAGATCAAAGTATTGAAAAACTTAATGTGTGTAGCAGTAAACATAAAATTTAGTAAAAAACAATGCTTTCAGATCCAGTTTTTTAAAAATGTTGTTTATAGTTTTCAACACATTCTTGTCTAAAAATTAAGTTTGATCAATATTTACTAAACATTTTAAGTGATTCTCTGCATAAAAGAAATATTTTTCATTCTCACCAGTTACTGCTGATTTTTTTCATCCATGTTAGTTACTAATCAACAAATATGATTCCATTGTAGTATCTGTGTCCACTGTGAAAGGACAGTCTACATTTTTTATAGTGAAATACTAATTTGCTTATGCTATTTATATTCATGCAAAAATATCTTCTCTGCTCTTTTTTTCTCATCCATTTAGCTAGTATTGTTTTTCAATTAGATGTGCTTTAAATAAATAAAATTCAGAAAATTTTAATGAAAAGAGCCCTTAAGAAAATATTATGTTTTCTACAGGAATACTAGATTTTGACTTTCAACTTAATAGTTAATAGATGATATCTATCTATGTCTTACAAAGCTACAGAAAACAAAAACAGTTAACCTAATTGTTTAATATCTTCATAAGATGCAAATCACAATGTCTTTCCACTATTCTCTTATCTTAAGCTGCAGATATTAGGCGAAGACAACTTCAGTATATGTTAATAGTAACATTATGTAACACCTAAATTAATGATATGTTGTCTAATGCATAGTTAGAAATACATATATAATTTTTTGAATGAATGAACTCATAGATAAACAACACTTTAAACTGAAAAATACTTTTTGAAACATTCCAAAATAAGCTTACAGATATTCTATTTAAAAAAACAAACAAAATTAAGGCACTACAACACATAAAAATTTAGTAGTTTATAAAGCATTTTCTGTTTTGTTTTTTTTTTAACCAGAAAGATTTTCTGAGCATACATCCTTTTAGTTTAAACCCTTTTCATTTCTGAGCCTTGTGTCCACTCTCTCATTCTTTCATTCGTTGTACTCATATGAATAACATACTCTGGGTCAGATTTGAGTCCAGAAGTAAACTAGGTCTCAACTAGGGCTCTTACAGACTAGAGAGGCTGGAAGACAGGTAAATACATAATGACACTACATTAGGAAATTTACTCCATAGAACTTAGTTCTTCTAGAACTAAGTGAGAAGTTCTCAAGAGAGAGAGAATTCTTCCTGGAGGTGCTAGAAAGTTTTCACAGAGAAAATGAGTTTAAAGTTAATTCAGGCGTTTAGGAGATAAGGAAGGTTCAAAAATTCTACATTTGAAGCAGTAGAAATCAGTTATGAGTATGGAGCCTACCCCACAGTGGTTATAAGTGGTTGGGCAACAGTACCTCCTTAAATCTCCTTAAGCTCAAGCGAAATGATGGTAGTGCTCAGGCTGCAGCCTACTGGGAAGGCGGGGAATGAGGAGACCCACTTCCAGATCCAGAAGCAGCTGAAAAGTGGCTCTTCAAAAGTTCTCTGCTCTCATCTCCACAGGCAAGTAGTTCAATGTCTTGTGGCCGGCAGTGCAAATTTGAGTTAAGATAAAGTTTAAAAAAGACAAAGGATCTTGGTCTCACAGCCAGAACTGGTTGAACACATAAAACACCTCCCTAGCCTTTTGAGAATCCTCATGGGTGTCAACTGATAACGATTATGCTTACATTAAGCATTGAATGCCCATGTTCGAAGAACCTAAGTACCCAGTAAAAGTGTATTTACCAATATCAGTGCAGACATGTGGGATGAGAACAGCAAGGACTTACAGAGAGGAAATATCAGAATTTTGAGGAAAACCAACATTGTTTAAAAGTGGAGTTTTTATAAGTGAGGGAAAACAGTATTATAACTCAAACATACCAGTGTGCATTCTTTTTGTTTTTTATGCAAAGATAGATGGATTGTTATATATCAAGAAAGACATGATTCCTTATTCTCAATTAGAACTTGTCATTTTGAACAAATCATTTTTGATATAGGGCAATGTCCTCAGTTAGATAACCCCTACAGATATTGTTCTAGTTAGATATATGATACCGGAATATACTACCTCTATTATCTGTATGGCTGTACTGGGGCTAGTATAGTTTTTTGTATTTTACTCATATTATTTAATTTAGTCTTTATCAAATCTTGTGAAATTTGTGCTTTTTTATAATTACCCTTCACAGATTAAAAAAAATAAAGATACAGAACAATTATTTTCCCCAACATATTACACTTAATTAATTAATAGAATCAGGATTTGGACCCAGGTAGGTTGGTCCAGAGTCAGTGCTCTTAACTAACACCTGTAGTGGGCCCCTCAGCAAAGTTTGTGTCTTAATTCCCAGAACCTGTCACGATGTTAAGTTACATATCAAAAAGGGGCTTTGCAGCTATAATTAAAGCAAGGATCTCAAGATGGAGAGATTATCCTGGATTATCTGGGTAGGTCCTTACAAGTGGGGTGTAGGAGGATGAGAGCATAGAGAAGGAGCTGTGACCACAATGGAGGCACAGATTGGAATTGTGCGGGGCCATGGCCAAGGGATATGGGCAGCCTCTTAGAGGCTGGAAAGACTAGGGAATAGATGATCCCTTATGCCTCTAGAAGGGGTTCAGCCCTGTCCACACGTTTTAGACTTCTGATCTCCAGAACTATAAGAGAATGCCTGTGTGTAGTTGTAAGACATCAAATTTTTGGCAATTTATTATGGCAGAAATAGGAAATTAATTCATTCCCTGTGCTATATTTTCTTTTCAACACCTGACTTTTTCAATCAAGATTCTGGTGCTCAGAACAATAAAAACTATATCTATAATAACTATATATGTGTCTTTATACAGGTATATATATCTCTATATAGCTATATATATGTCTCTATAGAAATATACAGAGAGATATAGAAGGATATCACATATAGCTTTCTCTCTCTCTCTACATATATATATGTAATTATATAATGTTATGTCATTATGTCTTATTTCTGTTGGTGCCTGCTATACCTGTCAGGGAAGCAAGATCAATTTGGCCTGTTCAGTTGATATTTCAGTGTATAGGGAAAATTGGGAAACTAGGAAATGTCATGAGTAGGGTGTGCTAAGGAAAGGTCATTTTGACAGTTCAAAGAGAGAGAGAGAATAGCTTAGAAAGAGGCTAAACAAAAGATACCCAGGAAGTTATGGCATTTGCTCAGGAGAGATGTGACATGCTCATGAAATTAGGCAATGACAGTGAAAATGGAAAAGAATAGATACATTTAGAAAGTCCTGTAAGTAATATAATTGACGATTTAGCTAAAATGTGTGTGCTAGGGAAAGAAAAAGAGGAAGGAGGGGAAGTACGATGCTGGGCTGGAACTCACTGAGTTTGAGTTGCCTGTGATATACAGGAGTGGGTGTGGGACTGAGATGATAAGGAGAATGTCACTGGGATGTGTACTATGCATAGGTAAGAGCAGTTTAAGTAGGGAGATCAGAGAACGGTATGCCACAATATTACTTTTGCTGGATATGTCCTGGATAAGACTGATTATATAGCCTTTGCTATTTTTTTCCTCTATTTCAATAGCTTTAAGGGGTACAAACAGTTTTTGGTCTGGGCTTTAAGTGTACCCACCACCCCCACCTGTGCACATTGTGCCCAACAGGTGATTTTTCATTTCTCCACCCCCTTCTGAGTCTTCAATTTGTTATGGTATTAAAGTTTGCAGAACTCTTTCCTTTTCATAACTTCTCACATGTACAAAATCACAATCCTTTTACATGAGAAGTTGATCTAGTGTTTTCTGTCTTCCCTAATCTATTATATCAGCACACAACACAGAAGGTAAGTGTGCATCAATTCTCCCATACCTTTCATCTACCTTTCTGGAATGACTTGGTGCCTTCTTGCTTTGTATACCTCCCCTGTAAACAAATCAAGTTTCAGGATTTTTTTTAAAAAAATAACTTATTTACATGTGTATTCAAACTACTATATTTTGTCTGTATC